GACATAATGGGGAATCCAAAGAGAGTGTTCTAAGACTAGAAAAATTGTCTATAGGAGTTCCAAAGTCTCTTGAGTCTGGGATCAAGGATTGGAATAAGAAACCATTGAGGGCAATAGAGGGGTGGGGGGAGAAGGCAGAGAAATAGAGGCCGACATAGCCACTTTAGACAGGGTGGTGATAGAAAGGATTGTAAGAAAGGCGAACTATTGAAAGGGTCAAGAGTTCTAAGCTCACCAAAGGTCATTTCAAGTTTGAGCAACCTGATGGTCATCTTGCTTTTGGGGTGGACCATGCTACACCACTGTAGGCAGAGCTTAGGTGAAGGGGAAACATGGATCCATATCTGTACCTGACTCAGGTTGCATCCAGAATCTAAGGGTACTTCACCTGCCAGCAAAACAGTATGCATTCAGCTGACTATGTTGTACATTCACTGGGAGAAGAGGAGAGAGGGCCCACATCTTAGGATTCCAGACATTACATGAGAAAACCTCTCTTTCTTATGTTAGAGGCCAGGGGTTGGGAAAGGCATCAAAGGTTTTGCAAACACTCTGGGGTGGGCGCAGGCACTCATTTTGGCATCAATATTCGAAAATGTCTAAATTAATTTGATATTTGCTACCTCTTTTTAAAGTTTTGTTCTTTATAAAAGTAGCTATGCCAATCATTTTAATCAGTTACCATATTTTTACACAAATATGTGCAATATACATTTTTTTTTGGCTACATATGCCCACCCCCAAGGTAGTTCTATAAGAACAGTATGTTCTTTACATCTTGTAAGATGTAAACTAAAACGAACATAGCACGTGTGCATGCGCATAATGTGGAAGTTATTTATGTATAACCACTGTGCCAAATCATGTAAAAATATATATACACATATATGTAAACAGATAAGGTTGAAAAAATATTGTCTTCATACTTTACTTACCATAAATTGTGGACTATTGAGTAAAGTGTAGAGAAGCTAGTATGAGTTAATATTTGGACTGCATTTACAACAGGACCTGCCATATGGTAAAGGCCAAAAAGTACCAGACACGTATTTTTATTAAAGTTGTCGTTAATTATTATAACCACTTCTATGGTTACTATTTGCCTGACTACAGAATAATTGATGAAATTAAGCTCCCTCTGATTGATTCTTTAGTCTCCTTGGCTCTACGGTCAACACTCTTGGCACCAGTAGCCAGGAAATAAAAAAAAAAGTATTGTGATGGGAAAGTCTGCTGTTAGGGACCGCTCCAGGCTACTAAAGAGCAATGGTGTCACTCTGGAGACTAAGGTGCGTCTGATACAGGCTATGGTCTTTGCAATCACTTGTTATGCATCAGAGAGTTGGACAATGACTAGGGAGGATAGAAGGAGAATTGATGCCTTTGAGCTGTGGTGCTGGAGAAGAGTATTGAAAGTACCATGGACTGCCAAGAAAACAAACAGATTCATCCTGGAGAGGGTTAAAGCATGCTGCTCCCTGGAGGCAAGGATTCTGGGGCTTCGTCTGACATACTTTGGACATGTTGTAAGGAGGGACCAGTCCTTGGAGAGGGTGGAGGGACGGTGCAAGAGGGGAAAACCCTCTATGAGGTGGATTGATTCAGTGACTCAGGTAATCGGGATGGGTGTGTCAGAGGCTGTCCGATTGGCACAGGACAGAGCAGGGTTTAGGGCTGTTTTACACAGGGTCACTATGAGTCACAAGCAACTCAACGGCACATAACAACAACTGATATTGACTCGACATTAAAAAAGTGCTTTATGATATTTCCCATTAACTGTGCTATTTTTAGTCAGATCCATTCATTCTCTCTTCCGTGGCTCTCTCAGACACACTTCATAAAAAAAAATTATCCTATTTAGGGGTTGGGAATGCACCATATCATGCAGGTAACTACTTCTGACTAACCAAAATTTTTAAATTAACCTCATATTTGATCTTATAAAATGTCACATACTAATGTATATACCTATCTTTTATGCAGATATAGGTGCATAGCTACATGTGGAGTTGTTGTTGTTGTTGTTATGTGCCACTGATAGATAAACATGCACCTAAAGATAGAGCTGCATGTCTGTGTATGTATTTATCAACAGATAAAGGCTTGTGTGAAGATACAGATGTACATCTACATGTAGTTTTACTGGTACATATGCTAACCTACAGTTGTATACACATATAAGAGATAAAAGTCCACTTGCTGGAAGATACAGACATACACATGAAGATACAGATGCTTATTTATTTGTGTGTTTACCCACAGTTTAACACACAGCTGAAGAAAAAAAATTGTCTGCATGTGTGTTTAAGAACATAGAGACATACAGGAAAAGGGGAGAATAGAATCTTTTGCTCATTTTTGGCAAGTGGGTAATACTGGAATAATCCTATTTGCCTGGAGATAGATGTTGTGATGAATGGTTCTCAGTAATGTGCTGAGCCATCAGGCTCTTCCGGCCATTCATCATCTTGAATGCAAGCAGGCAAATGGGATTATTATTACAATAAACTGCAACTACCTAGGGTTTGTCCTCTCTGTGTCTAACCTTCTGCCTCTATCCTATTCAGGAAATGGAAAATTTAAACCAAATTCACAAAGTCAGGGGATTTTTTTTTCCTTGAAATAACTCAGTGAACCTTATTGTTTTTAAAAAAGAAAAGTGAATCTGGAAGATAAATTATTGCATGTTCTAGAAGTATCAAATGCTGAAATGGGAAAGCCGAGAGTATGGCAGCCTAACCAGGGAACATCTGAGGCAGGAGGGAAGCAGGGGGAGCAGAGACAGAAGGCCCCTCAGAACACAGGTGGCTTGAAACTCAAGCATGGAAGGCGATCCAGGTCTAATCTGCTTCCTGCTTTGAACTCCTTGCTCTTCTGCTCTGCCTGCTAAGGTCCACTGTCTGAACACAAGATCCCTTCACCTAATGATGGACTCCATACCAACTGGTTCTGAGGAAAAGAGCTCCCCTTCCCTGGAAGAGACTCCTCCTAGATCACAATTCTCTTTCGATTCTCTTTGCTAAGGATGTTTGCTGTGGTCATAGAAGAGACATTTGTGTGCGTTCATGCAGAGATAGGCATCTTCTATCCTTTCACTGAAAAATAAAGGTCACCTTTCCTCATACACCATTAGCAGAGACAGGAATCTCAATTTACTTTAATCCCTTCATCTGCCAAGTGGTGGGTCATTATCCTCTGTGGGGGGTTGCCTCCTTAGAGAACACAGGGCCCGTTTTGATGCACTGGTATGCAGTTGGGGCTGGTGCTTGAGACTTTACACCTTGGCTTAGCTGAGGTGCAAAGGTAGCTGAAGGTTCCAGGACTTGCAGAGCGGCAGTTTGTCGTGTACAGTTGGAGAAGAAAAAAATTGGATAAAGCAGGGGCCTGTTTGGAAGAAGAAACGTGTTTCACTCTGCCTGAGTGAATCTTGCATCTGATTAGAGTGGGAAGGTGCGAGAACGGGCGGTGGAGACTCTCATTTCTGACGAAAGCTGGGCTATCTCTGCTGACCTCTCCCTCTAGCTAGGGTTCATTTCTAATCTAATTTTTTTTTCTTGCAACTTTCCTATTAGCACAGGAAGGTTGTTATGTTTTGTATTTGTACTTTTTTTTTTAAAGCACTCAGATTATTTTCTCTGTTGTTGATTGCATCAGCCAGCATTAGGCAACTCTTAAATGGTAAAGTGGAAGCTGTGAGAACAGTTATTTGCAAGAAATTCAGAGAGCTGTTAGTGGGCAAATTCTTTTTTCGCAGGTGAATCAGAAGGGGTGAATGAGGCCTTACACTTGTGTCCATAAAGTCTAGAGCTGGGTGGTTTCCTTGGAAGGCATGAGGAAAATTCCTGACATGTTGGGTCAAAAAGCAGAGGCAACCAAGTCCTGCACCTTCTTTTCTGTGCCTTACAAGGTCACCCCACAGGAGACTAGCTGGATTGATTGATACTGACAGAAACTTATTTGTAGTCGAAATAAAAGCAATAAACCTCAAAGACTGGCATCCAATCCGAGTGTCAGATTTAAGAAGAGCCCTGACGAATTGGAGTTTGGGGGAAGAGGGAGCAAGCTGAACCCCATTAGAGGCGAAAGAGATTAAGTCAGGGCAGGTGTTTGACCCTCAGCTAAGATGACTCAAGGAAAGCATGACAGCTGTTTTCAAACATTTGCAAGCTGTTAGGGGAAAGAGAAATGAGTCTTATTCCGCAAAGGTCCAGAGGACCAAATTAAAATTGTTGGTGAGATCAAAAGGTAGAAAAGATATTTTCAAATATTTAGAGTCACCTAACTAAGAAATGGGCTATTAATAGGTGCCACAGAGGTAGAGACTTATAGGTCATAGTCTGATGGTGCAGACTAAAAAACGACTTAGTTTTGTTCAAATTATTACAGAGCTGTTAAAACCCTCACAAGCAAACAGTTCTAACTCTGCAATGTATAGTGTTGTCTTGAGTTAAGATTGAGTTGATGGCAACTGTTAACAGTGTTACACAACGATTGGAAACTGGGTGGTGGAATCAACCACGCTGAGTTGGAATCCTTGTTCTACTCTTACAAGTTGTGTGCCTTGTGGTAGAATAGTTAACCTTCCAACACACTGAGTTTCTCAGCTACAAAAGAAAGATATTAATAGCATAATAGCACATGGGCCAAACTTTTACTATGATTATCTCATCTTTTGCCCACAAGAGTGCTGGTAGATTTGAACTGCTAATCTTTCAATTAGCAGCTCAACATGTAATGAACTAATTTTAAGTTTGTTGTTATATTATTGTTATATACCATCCCGTTGGAACTGATCCATAGCAGACCCTCCAGCAGGAGGGTAGCAGAAGCAGTAAATCTCATGGGATGAGATTGTTCATCCTTCTCCCATGGAGCAGCTGGTGCGTTCTAACTGCATGCCTTTAGAACTGCTGTGCAAGTTATAATCACTAGGACACAAGGCCTGGAAAAAAAGATAAAGATCTTCACGAGAACTTGTCCTTCAAGCCAGTCCTTACCGGAACATCTTTCTCATTGGTCTCATCAGCCCAGGACCATCAAGGTATATCCAGACGTTTCTCAGCGTTTCGTTTAAAGGATTGGTGAACTCAACTGTCACAACCATGTCAGAACCAACCATTTTAGCACCTCGGACCTAGGAAAGGAGTGAAGGGAGAATTCAACGCGTTAGTAACAACTGAAACCTCTTTCTACTTCTGTCTCTTTAATGAGCCTCACATTGTTAATGGTGTCCAGTATGGTTGTTTTCTTGTAGTGAGATGAGAATTTATTTCTCTGACCAGAGGATACTTATTGAGAAAAAAGATGGGATATTACTAATTAGAATCACATTCTTTTTCTCATTATAAAACCCAACATAATTAGCACATAGGTTAATAGCTGTGGCCACTTGTTGCTCTTCATCAGTGGGAGGTGAAAATGCATTTGGAACATATTTCCATGGTGAGGGTTACCAGGTGAATTCTGCTTCTGGCTGGGTCTCAAATTTCCTGCCAGAAGATGGGGATTCCTGAGCACAAGTGGTGGGGGAAATCCCCCCGCTGGGGTTCTTCACCATTTTAATTATAGAAACATGTCTAAAGAGAGAATCTTTTCTCTCCTTATCCTTATCCTAAATCTGGACATTAAGGAACTTAAGAATAAGGAATCTGGACATTAAGGTAAAAAAAAAAAAAAAAAAGACTGTGATTTGAGGTTATAATACCTGAGTCCAGAAGAGATAAGAAGTTATTTGTTAAAGTTTATTCATAAAATTCTTAGCTATTCAGGCATTTCCAACAAGTGTATGGCATATGGCAGCATGTGACATCTGACTGACAGAGTTCAAGAACAGCTTCAACACTTTCAATCAGTGGAGTCTTGGGTAAGATACTGAAACTTTTGGAACTTTAATTTTCTTGTCTACAAGGAGACTGGGGTGATCTATGTTTATCGTTAGAAGTCATCAAGTTGACTATGATTCATAGGAACCCTATAAGCAACTGATCTGAACTTTGCTCTATCTTGCACCATTCTCACTATTTCTGATATGCACACATCTATTATTAGAAGATTATTATTATTATTATTATTATTTATTATTACTATGATCATTAGAGACACTGTGTCAATACAGCTATTGAGGGTCTTCTTTTCTTTGACCCTCCTCCTTTCACAGCTTGATGTCGTTTTTCAAGGATTGGTCCCTCCTGACAATGTACCCAAAGTATGCAAGTCAAAGTTTCACCATCTTATATAGAACGCTATTATTACTATGAGTTTCGATGTTGTATGCAACAAATTTGGAACTGTATGTCTTCTCAACACCAACAACATGTGTTGGGAAAAAGCCAAACATCTATAGAAAAATGTGTTAATCCAGTAGCTGTGCATGCCAAATGAATGCATTTATAGGCTTTAGATAACCTGGAGACAAGGTCATAATAATGATTACAATCATAATTAGCTCTGGTGACCTAATGGATAGGGTTGTTTTTATGTGTTGTTGAATTGAATATGACTCATTTTGAGTTGAGTATGACTCATAGTGATCCTATGAACAACAGATATGAACCCTGTCCTATCCTGGGCCATCCTCACACTTCCTGACACACTAGAACCTACTGTGGTAGTACCATGTCAATCCACCCAGTTGAGGGACTTCTCTTTGATGACCATCTGCCTTCCTAGCAACATGCCTCAAGTATGTTCATCATCGCCTTCAAAGAGCCCTCTGGCTGCACTTTCTTAAAGAATGTGTGTTCTTTTGGCAGTATATAAAATGTTTAATACACTTCAACACCACGGCTCAAAGGCATCAATTCACCTTCTATCATCCTTTTTCATTGACCAGCTTCCAGATGCATAGCAAGTGATTGTAAAGACTATAGTCAAAATCAGGTGTACCTTACTCCTCAAATTGGCATCATGACTCCTTATTAATTTGGAAGGTCTCTGGCTGCAGACTTCCCAGTGCCTGATTTCCTGACTGTTGTTAATTATGTTAATTATGGATCCAAGAGTGTTAATTGTGGATCCAAATAAGTTAAAGTTGTTAACAGTTTCAGTTTTTTCTCCATCTATCTTTATGTTTCCTATCTGTCCGATTGTAAGAATATTTGTTTTCTTGACGTTGGGATTCAATTCATATTGAAGGCTGTATCCTTTGATCTTCTGCAACAAGTGCTTCAAGTCTTCAAGTTCTCCTTAGATGTAGCAAGCAAGAGTATTTAATTTGCAGAATGCAGATTATCAACGATTCTTCCTCCAATCTTGATGCCACATTCTTCTTCATAGGCTCCAGCTTCTTGAAGAATTTGCTCAGCATTCAGATTGAATAGATATGGAGAGAATATAACCCTGATGCACTTGTTTCTTAATTTTAAACTATGCAGTTTTCCCTTAATGCTGTTCACACAACAGCCTCTTGGTATAGTTATAGGTTTCACATGAGCACAATTAAGTGCTCTGGGATTCCCATTCTCAATCTTAGTCATAACTGATTATGTTCCACACATTTAATACCTTTGCACAATCAATAAAACATAAATAGACATTCTCTTGGTATTCTTTACTTTCAGCTAGGATCCATCTGACATTAGCAATGATATATCCCTAGTGCTATGGGCTCTTCTATATACTGCTTGAACTTCTGGCATTTCTCTAAGTACTGTTATAGCTATTTTTAAATGATATTCAGCTGTTTTGCTTGCATGTGCTATTTGTGGGTGTTGTTTGCTGTGTACTATAATGTCGGAACTGACTCATAGCTGACACTCCAGTAGGTATAACATGAGAGGAGATTGCCCATCCTCCCAAGGAGCAGCTCGTGGCCTTGAGCTGAACTGGTGGCCGTATGCCTTCAGGATTGCAGTGAAGCTTTTTGCAACTAGGCCACCAGAGCTCTCTATTAGTGGATAGGGAGTTGTTACTAATACAAAAGTGACACCTCTCTGGCAGTTTGAATCTACCAGAAGATCTATGGGACATAGATCTCCTCCTGTACAATCTATAGCCTCTGAAAACCCACTGGAGTTTTCCAAATCAGTTATGACTCATGAGCAATGAGATGATTTTTTTGGGGAAAAAATATCTCCTAATATAAAAGTGTTAAGCTGAGATAATGTATGTAACACAGTGCACACCCCAGGTGGTACTTGGTGAAATTCTGTCCATTAAAGCTTATACTTTTCTAGAGTAGCACAGAATGCAAGAGTTTGTTTTATTCATGTTCTATTTGAGCCCACTTTCAACTCTAACACTTAAAATATATTTGCCTAATAATATTTGTTCAATCAGATTTACTACGAAAATGAGCTTACTGGTTGAACAACCTAGCCTTTCTTATACCTTGTTCTCTAACCAGAAAAAGATGTGGGAAAGACACACAGAAGAATGTGCTTTTCTCATCAATGAAGATAAAGAGAACGGGCATTGCCTGGTGAACAGGATGTCTGTTCACTGATCTGAAGTCAAGAATAAAGTCCTTCATGCCATAATTTATGTCTTACATCTATGCCTGAAATTTCTAAATGAACAGTCCAGCAATTTTATATTTGTTAAATTCCTGCCTCTTCGTTTGGGCTGGGTAGAGAACTGGTGTCTAGGAGCTGAGAGCTGGAGCAATCAGTGACTATGATAGTGATTACAGCATGAATTGTGTACTAGACATGGTCTTCAATGCTTGGACTATTGGTTCTCCACTTCACAAGTACAACAGGACTGACAGCAGAACTTTTAACCCCACCATAGTCTAGACCCACAGCAATCAGTGTCTTATGAGATGAAGGCTGTGATCTATTTAAGCACCTTTGCTGATTACGAAGGCTTAGTCAAAACTGTCTCTATTCATATACTGTAGGAGTAAGTCTCACAGTAAAACCATGGGTAGATATTAGCATTATAAGTAACATAGTCAACAACTACAACTGAAAAGTATAGTAAACAGAATTGAAACATCAAATGCAAAGAGCAAGAGAACACAGAACTGTCAACAGTGCAGTGTGGCCATCATGGACAGCTCTCAATATGGAGTAGGAACTTAGGAGGGCTGAAATGGCAGCAACGGCAGCAGTATCTCACAACTGAAAAGGTCCAATCTCTGCATTGTCTCCTGTGCTCACCAAGCAGTAGAAAATGTTCCCCCTTACACTTTTATACCCCAACCTTCTATCCTGGCTCCTATACCTTGTCAAGACCCTACACCTTGTCAAGACCCAGCTCTACCCCAGGTCACACCCACACAATCCTATTTCTGGAGCCTGTAGCTTGTACCACTCCTGGCCTACAGTTAGTCTCCTAGCTGAGAAACCGCACCTCTTCTGACTGGGAGGTACCTTGAACTGGCAACTCAGTTTTAGCCAGGAAGACTAACCAGATTCCTTGGAAGCCAGCAGAAACTAAGCTGATGGATCTTGGCTAAAAGCAGAAAGTACCAGAGGAATGTCTAATTGTGTTTCATTGACTATGCAAAGGCATTTGACTATGTGCATTACAACAAATTGTGGCTAATCTTGTGAAAAATGGGGATCTCAGAGGACTTAATTATGCTCATGAAAAACCTATACTTGGATCAGGAGACAGTTGTCAGAAGATAGCAGGGAAAACCTGCATGGTTCAGGATCAGGAAAGGTGTGCACCAGAGATGCATCCTATCTCCACACTTTTTCAATCTATATGCAGAACAGATCATTTGGGAGGCTGGACATCGAGGAGAAATGTGGCATCAGCATTGGAGGAAGACTGATTAACAGTCTGCATTAGAGAGATGACACAACCTTGCTTGCTGAAACTGAGGAGGACATGATGCATTTGCAGGAAGTCAAGGGCTGTAGTCTTCAACATGGATTGAAGCTCAATATCAAGAAAACAAAGATTCTCACCACTGTGCCAATTAGAAGCTTCATGATAAACAAAGAAACAATTGAAATTGCTAATAACTTCAGCTCATTTGTTCCACAATAAACACTCTTGGCACTAGCAGTTAGGAAATCAAAAGATGAATTGCATTGGGAAAGTCTGCTGTCAGGGACCTTGTGAATAACGAAAAGCAATGATGCCAGTCTAGAGATTAAAGTGCACCTAATCCAGGACATGAGATTATTGACAGCTTTAGTTTGCTTGGCTCTATAATCAATATTCTTGGTACCAGCAACC